TTGCTTTGATTTTCTAATATTTTTCTTATTTGAAATATAATTATTTTTAAATTACATAATGTATAATCGTTAAATAAATTATCTAGCTAAAAAAAAAAATAAAATATGTTGGTTTTGAAGAATAATATTAAAATTTTTTTTTATTAACTTTAATTTAAATATTTTAATATTTTTTTCCATTTCAATTCCTTTGCTTTTTTAAAAATCGATGTTTTTTTTTGGAATTTTTATAAATTCTAAATTATGTAAATAATGAATAATAATTATTGTTTTATTAGAATTGAAGATATTCACGAGATTTTAAGGTTCCTACGTTTAATTTCAAATATAATTTTATTTTCTTAAATGGAAGCTGATTTTTACTTTTTGTTTTTTTTTGGTATCTATTTTATATAATTTGAATAACTGAGTTTTTGTCGAATTTAACTAAAAATTAATTATGATTATACTACTGATTATTATTAATATACTAATTAAAATTAAATAACATTTTGTTATAATAATTATTACTATATTGTTTACTATTTTATTGTAATTCTGGGAACAAAATTAAAATAATTTCGATGTTTTATTTTTATAATTGTTAAAAATTACAAAAATTGATAAATTGTTGCAATTAACCATTACTTATTTCTGACTATTATTTCGATGATAAAACTGTATTATTAACAGAAAATTATTTAATAATTTAATTATAATAATAATTTACTTTAAAACTTGTCGATAATTCAGTATAATATTTCAAAATAGAAAATTGATGAATTAAAATCATTTTTTTATGTATAAGTTATTTTAGGCTCTACATTAGGCTCTACAGTTTGTACACGTTTAAAATTGAAAGTGCTTATAAATTCATAGAAATAATATTTGTTTTCGAAAATTTCAAAACCTATATTATTACCTAAAATAATATATTTGTTTTTATAATAATAAAAAGTTGTTTTACCTTTTTAACACAATTTCATAGTAATATATTTAATTTCGAAACGTAAATTTTATATACTTAATTTCGAAACTTAAAATTTAAAGAATTTCATTGCATTTCTAAAAGTTAATTGTTAATAATATTAAAATTTATGAAAATAGTAAAAATTCGATTTTAATTTTTATTAAAAAATTTTAATTTGAATTATTTTTTCTTTTGTTTTTTAACTTTAGAAACTGATCTTTTGAAAAAAATTTTAATGTTATACATTTCTAAGGTTTTTACGAGTAAATTAATTTCAATATTATAAAAATTTTATTTTAAATTCATTTATTCTATTTAATATAATTGAATTTTCGATATTTTTTAAATAAAACTTTAATAATGAAATTCTTCAAACTATATTAATGCTTCACTATTCGTTTAATTAAGATATTTTAAATTAATTATACATTAGTTTTGTTATTTTATTGATTTTAAATAAGAAAAAAATTAAAATTTTCTTAAATTAAAGTAGAATATTTTGTTCCCAATCCTAAATTTTTCTTTACAAATTTAATAACGAGAAAAAAAATCTTAATTCTAATAAAAAAAAAAATGTTGATTTTATATCAAATATATAAAATTATTGGCACGTATTTTTGATTTATTAAATAAGAAACATCCTCTGGTAAAAATTATCAATTTTTTTTTTTCATCCTTATTCTTATTTATAACCATTATATTGTATAACCGATGTGTTTTTTTTTTATTATAAATACGAAGATTTTATTTAAAATTTTTAATTTGTAATTGTTAATGAACACTATAGATTTATTCTATTTTTAAGAACTTGTTGATCGTAAAGATTTTTCAGTAAAACCTGCCTTAAATAGAAACTTTGAGATTTTACTTCAAATAGTTTTTGTACATTCAAATATTAGAAATTTTTTGATATTGACATGAATATTCTAATTATCGACAGCGAATGTGTTAATTATACAAAATTTATAATTCTTTTTTTTTTTTTTGTTACTTTATTTAATAATTTATTTCTAATGGAAATTCTGAATTTATATAAAAAAATTTTGATTGCAAATCAAATTATTTTTGCAATATCAAAAAAAAAACTCAAATCGGTTTATTAAAATTAATTTAGAAAATACCCGTTATCTGCTCGTCGCTAGCAATTTGATTTTTATTTCTATATAAAATCTAAGTTATAAAAAAAACTTTAGTTTTTTTTCTGTTTTACGAAATGGTTACATGAATTATATAAGTATCATACATATACGTACATGTACATTATTATAATATACTTATAAAGCTATCAACAAGAAAAAAAAATTTTCTTTAACACAAAATCAAGTTAATTTTCAAAAATAGTATAACTATTTTAATATTGTGTGTAAAAAATTTTGTTAAAAATTATAAATATTTCAATTATTTTTTCATAATTTTTTGAATTTAATAAATTTTTTTTAACTTGATTATGTGTAATTATTGCAATTTGTTAAATAATTATTAAAATAATGTTGTCCTTTTACTTTTTTAAATAAAAATATTTTTTTTATTAAAAAGTTTTCTAAAAAATTAATTAAAATTATTTTTGGAAGAATAATTTTCTTATAAATAATTCATTAACATTAACTATTTTTAGGCAATTTATAAATTTAAATGTAAATTTGATATTTTTATTTAGTAAAAGGGCAATTTTATTGATATTATAACAAAAACTATTAAGCCTGATTGAATTCTTTAATTTGGTATTACAAATTATTTAATATAAAAATAAAAATTATCAAAATTTTATTGTTATCTACAATTAAAAGACTTTTAACAAAAGAAATTTTTACTTATAAAAACAAATATATATATATAAATATAAATTTATCACAGATAAAAATTAATAATTAAAGAAATTTAACTAAATAATTAAAGTAAAATATAATAAAGTAATGAATTTGACTCAATATAAAACTCTGACTAAATATATTTTAAATTAAAAAATCAACCTAAAAACAAAACGAAATCACTATTTTTTATTGTTATGATGTTATTTGAATTTATTGTTGCAATATTTGAATTTCAATAGAAAATTTTTATTTAAATTCTTAAGGTTCAAGTTAATCAATATTAATTTATTAAGAAAATATAATGGAATTTTGATTCCAGAAGTAGTTATGTTGATAAGTAAATATTTAAATTTGTTAATAGAAACAATTAAATTTAAATTATTCAGCAATAATTGCTATAAGATAATAGAATTTAAAGCACCATAATTTGAAAAAATATTCAAATTCAATTTTAGTTTGGTAAAAAATTGTTCATACTAAAAATAAAACTATAAAAAATAAATAACAATTAAAAAAATTACAATTATATAAAAATAAAATTCAGTCTTTTATAAAAACAAATATTAGAGTACTCAATTTTTTTTTAGAATAAAATCAAAATAATAACAATTTTAATTGAAATTTCAACATTACATAAACAATTAATCAACATTTATATAACGATAAAAAACACATAACACCCAAACACAATTAAAAAGAAAACATTGAAAAACCAAAACTAAAAATTTTTTTGGTTAAGTCACTAAGTTTTATGTGTCCTAAAAAATTCAACATCTTACTCATAATTTACTTTACAATTTTTAATGCAATTCTATTTAAATATAAAATGTTCTACATAAATAATGAAACTTCATTATAATTTTAATTTTTTTCGCGGTAATTATGTAGTTCAATTAAGTAACCATTTATAGTAGCGCAAAATTCAATATGTTAATATTTTTAATATTCAAGAACTTCACTTTGTTTTGACAAAATTTGCCATAAAAACTTAGAAACTTGAAAATTAAAATAGAAATTTAAAAATTCATTTAATTAGACTTAGTGACAAAACACAAATCAAACACGTATTACTTCAAACAACATAAGTTACAAACAAAAAAAAATATATTTATCAATAAGCTATAAAAACAAAAAGCCTTTTAAAGTAGTATTGATTACTTTAGTAATTTTTAAAAATTTACATCTAAGTTAACAAAAACATACACACATAAATATATAAGTAAATATACATAATTTATATTTTTGTATATATTTAAAGCAATATGTGTTTATGCTAATTTTCATAGAAACTTAATAACTATTTAGTAATATTTAACAATTATTTTTATTTCTTTTGTTCTTATTAATAGGTATTTTATCAATAATTAATAAATATAACAATATTTTTATAAACGATTGCAAACATATTAAATTCTATATTTGATTTATTTGTAAATTATATATTTTATTGAAAATTACTATTACTTTAATCTTATAATTTAATTTTTTAAATTTTTCTTTTCATATTTTTTTCGTTTCTATAATTAATTAACACAACGATAACAACAATAACATATAGCAAATATGATAGTACTATGAAGAATCGCTAGCGGCAGCATCTTCGATAATTGAATTCAAATCAATATTGAATGAATATTCATAAACATTTGAATAGCGTTCTTTACGATCAATCCAAGGACTTCGATGATTCATATATAGATTACGTTTACTAACACGAAATATTTGACTGTCTTTAACGCTTTCATCATCGATTGGTTCACCACCGCCACCAAAATCACATTCTCGTAACGTTAAACGATTTGTTGGTGATTTTATTTCAAATGGTGGAATTTTTAATTTTGGTTTATGCGTATAAATTTTACGCATAGGTATACCAGTTTTTCTTTTTGATGTTTCTTTAATACCAGCTTCTTCACCACCACCAGATGAATCAACAGATTGTGTTGAACCTTGTCGTGCAACACCAAATTTCTTTGATAAACCATATAATGGTGAATGTGAACTAGAATCAGATCCACGTTGTGGTGAATAATATTCAAATTCACTTGGTATTGGTACAATTGAATTACGTTTATCGCTAAGTGAAGCGCGTTTATCAAATATTGAATGTCTTTTATCAACATGACTTTGTAATGTTATTTGTCTGTGCATAAGCGGTAATGGTGAATTTCGATCAAACGATGGTGAATATGGCATAGGCATTTGTCGTTTTAAGCGATACGATGCAAGTGGTGACTTACCGTTTTGTAAATTATCATAGCTACGATGACGATACATTCCTGATGCAGAAAGTGTCTAAATTTGAAAGTAGAAGAGAATAAAAAAAAAAAGAAAAGCAAAAAAGCAACAAATATTAAAAGCAAAACAAAAATGAGGGCAAAATATTGTTATTAGAAGTCTTTTGTTTTTTTTCTTTTTTATAAAACGAAATCAAATGAAAATTATTATTTTGTTTGATTTTGATATTAACAAACTGACTTTACAAAAACACACAAAATGACGAACCTCATCAAATAAGCGTGGTAAAGGTTTTAATACATCAGCTCCACTTATAACTGGCTGTTGCGTTATCATAGTTGGCGTTTGAATTGTTGGAATTTCTGTTACTGGATGAGCTGGAGAATATATCGGATGCATTTGTAACATAAAATCGTCAGTTACTACTCCTCTCCTATTATATTTTAATTATATGAAAAATTATATACTCATTTTAACCAAAATATTCTTTTTTAAAGCATTCAAAATTAATTTTCACAAACCTATCTATTAAGGATGGTGTCATTGGCCCACACAATATGTGAACACAATTTAAGCAGATATTCCCCCGGGAATAAGGATTAACAGCTCGTTGTCCACCTTTGGAGGAGAAAGAACCTTTGAGCTAAATTTTAAAAGAAAATTTTTATTAGTTATTCAATTCTTTCCAAATAATTTAAAAAGCAAATAAATTTTGGGTTGATAAGAATTACGTCTTCATTTGTTGTTTGATCACTTGTTGTTAAATATGTATGAAAACCAGCCAATCCAATTACTGACCAAATTGAAAAAAAGCAAATTATTGTAACTACAACACTACAAGGTGCTGATTTAATGACTTCCCATACTTCTTTTTTTTCTTTCATTACTGCAACGTAAACCATAAATTTTACTTTATAAATACTTCATATTTAATTTTTAATAATTGTATTTATGAGAAGGATTTCGTTAATTTTAAAGAAAAAATATTAAAACTTAAAATTCAGAATATCCACTTACATAGTACTAGATGAGTTATTGAACATGAAAATATAAATACTGCTAAAAATGCCAAAGATACTAGAAACATATAAAAAAATCGATAATTACGTTTCCCGACGCAATTTCCCACCTGAAAATGGAATTGTAAATAAGAAAAGAAAATTGTTAATATTATAAAATTGCTAAGTATTAAGATAATAGACAAAATAGGTGACTTGCTCAGTCTAGGCCAACAATAATAATTTTTGATAAGAAAGGATATTACCGTTGCTTTCTTTGTTTTATAGAGATTGAGAAAAGCTTATACGGTTTCTAAAAAATATGTTGAGGTAAAATGAAATTTTACTCTTATTAGCCAGCAAAACGATCATCCTAAAGGTAGTATATGGCTTGAAATACAATAATATTTAAACTCTTACACTTCCCTTAGTATAAATTATTTGCCCGTAAATATTTAATATTGTAAATATTTACGGGCAAGTATAATTATTGGATTTCAAACATTTATTAATTGAAATTTATTTTTAATATTGACCATGGTTATCGAAATCTTAAAAAATTTTTGGACCAAATTCTACAATTTGGCTTCATAATTATTTTTAAAAATAAAGCAGTTAAAAATAATAACTTACCCATGGACAATGATGATCAAAACGATCAACACAATTGTCACATAAACTACAATGTGATGCTCTTGGAGGACGAAAAATTTTACAAGTAAAACAATATTTTAATTTAACTACTTGTCCCTTAACTAAAACTTCTTTTGTCCTTGGTGGAGGACGATATGTTGGACTATTTAATGAATTTGGCACTTCTAAAAACAAAAAAGAAATTTTTGTAAATAGGTAATTAAAATTATTTTTTTTTCCAGTAAATATATTTTTTTAGTATATTTACCAATTTGTTTTTCTATATATGCTGCTTCATCATGTGAAGCTCTTGGTATTATGCCAGGATCTGTAAATGTTGTTCTCAATAAGGAACTCATTGTAAAAAAATATAATACCGCTCCTATAATTGGTATGAAAGGTGTTATTCTAGTTGCTAAATCTGGACAGCTATAATTTAAAAAAAAAAATGTTGATTATAAAATTTTTTTTTAAATTCTGAAATGAAACGGATGTATTTATTATTTATATTATTGCTTTTGTGAATGCCCGAATTAAAATATCAACCAATTTAACATATTTTATATTTTAAGTGACTTTTAGGCAATTAAAAACTATCCAAAATATTAAGTATTTGTTTTCTTTCTGAGGTTAGAATCCGGAAATATTTAGAACTGTTATACAAATGCTAATTATAGATTATATTTACGGTCATTACTATTGTGTGTTTATTAATATTGCTCGTTTTGTAAAGCTTTAAGCCTTTCCTAGAAGGGTGCATACCATTACAAATACCACGTGCTAATTAATGTAGAAACTTTTCCTATAGAGAAAGTTTACATTTTCTTACTAACATTTACTACTCATGAATTAACATAATTATTTTAAATATAATAAAAATTATTAACGTGAATGTGTGTTTCATGTTTAAATTTTATGTGTGAGGTTTTTCATATTTTATTTTCGAAAATGTAATAGGATCAGTAAAATATATTTTTTAATATAGTGCGCTCATCACCATTGTTTACGCTTCCAGTGTGCTCTTATATTTTACATAAAAAATTGTGTCACGTGTAGAAAAATTAAAATTTAATTTTTTACTGTTCTATTTTTTTTATTTTTAAGGAAGTATTTTTATCGCTTATTAAATATAATTTCTTTTTACATTTAAGGGAAAGTGAACTGAAAGAGACACTGTTTTCATATATCACTGGAAAAAAAAAAGAAGCAAGGTAACTTGAACACCTGAACGTTTCATAGTGCGTTGTATTAAAAAGTGAATTATGAACGCCTTACGGTATGCAATTTTTTTGTGTTTTAAAATATTGAAAATGCAATAATAATTTAACAGATTAAATGTCTTAAAATTGCTTTATAAATTCTAAGCATTTTCAACGTCTTTTAAAGTATACTGTTGAATAAACTGAATGGCCTACTCATAATTTGGTTCTCATTCAGATATTAAAATTAAATAGTGCTTGAATGACTCAAGTCAACATTTAATTCGCATTTTTATGCCCAAATTAAGGTCTGACCTATCTTTGGTTATTGACCATATATTTACATCAAAACTAAAGAATTATCAGATTGCCAAGACGGACAAATAAATAAATTTCAATAATTATTTTTCAACAAGACATATACTCGTACATACATATATATAACTACATGCATATATGCAGTTCAAAAATATTATTTTAAATAGTTGTCCTCAACAAAAAAAAAAGTATGCCCTCTTCTCTAATTTATATAAGTTGACCCTATTTTATCAGTATAAGTTATACATAAAGGATTTTTTTTTTAAATATTACATATAATATTCTTGATGTCCTTATGTATTCAAAAATTTTAATGCATAGTTTAATTTAAAAATGAATTAAAATTCATTAAATATACCTTTGTATGTATGTATGTATACATATGAAAAATATGCAATATATGTAAATGTATATGCAAGCATGTATAATGTAATTCGCTATTCAAAAATAGGTCATGTTCTTATATTTGATTAATGCATTTTAAATAGATAAGTAAATAGAAAGGTGAAATTTTTTAGCAAAAAAAAATCATGATTTTTCAACTGATATATACATATATAAATATATTTATACATATTATATTCAGTTATTATATTATATTTATGTATAATAAGCATACTTCTAACTTTGGATGCTCCGATAATTTTTTAGGGCATCGTCTTCTTGTGGGTGATTTTTTTTTCTTGTCTTTTTTATTTAGGGTTTCTTTAAAAGACGAAATTAGAGTGAAAGTATATATCTGACGTTTAAATTAATATACATAATATGTATACATAGTTATGTATATAAATTAATAATATTCAAAGCGGTTTTACATAGTTTATGTGTAAAGGTATTCCAAAGTGAAATAAAATCAAGAAAAATTTAGTCAACGTCTAATGCCAGAAATTTAATTAATCAAATTTTAGTAAATTTAAAAAAAATTTGGAAAGCCATCATTAATTTCTTATATAAATATTTTTCGGCCATATTTTCTTGCAGGTTGGGACAATTTATCGGATTTAATTTGGCAATACAATCGAAATTAATTCTTGGAGTGAAACTTAGATCTTGATTCACACGTCTTAATGATATCAAAATTAATTAAGTAATTTTTAAGCTAGAAAATTAATTCGTATCATTCTAGTCAAAATTATACGAAATTCAGTGAAAATTCATTAATAAAATTTTTATTTTAGGAAGCGACAAGTTTCTATAGTTGATATTTCAAAATTTTTACATGCGATAGCACCAAAATTCTAATCTAAAAAATATTTAAAGCACTGAAATATACTACGATCTTTCTTATATTTAATATAAAATAATTTTTATATTAAAATTTTTGAAATATTAAATAATAATTCAATAAATTTTTGCCCATTAACTTGTCATATAACATTTAATTGAAAATTATAATTTCATTATTATAGCTTCATCTCTATGGTTTTGAATAAAATTAATAGCTTTAATACTTAATTGTTAATTGAGTATATTCGATAAAAACTGCTTAAATGATGTATATGCCCGTATATTATCATTATTATAAACATTATTCTAACACCTATAACATAATATATGCGTTAATTACAATATTTTATTTACTAAAATTACATACTGATTGCATAGAGCTTAGTGTACATAGAGCATAATACACAACAAAATTATGACAAGATATTTAAATTTATATATGAATATATTATACTTGTATACATATATTAAATAATAATTATAAAAAATTTAATAATAATTTACTTACTCGTATGCAAAAAATAATGCACTGGTTCCAGTTATTAGGAAGCATGTTAAATAAAAAACTCCAGTATGTGGAGCTGACATCAATAAACCATCACAATAAAATTTATTACGACCAGCAAATATTTCCCATTTTCGGGTAATACGTGTATTTGGAGCCATTATTTGACAACAACAAAATAAATTCATTTATAATGATGGTAATAATTATATAAAAATTTTTAATTAACTCTCTAGTATTTGATATTATTATTGATGTTGATGATGATGATGATGATGATAATAGTAATGGTAATATAATTTTTAATGATGTTGATTTTGTTGCTAATGTCGTTATTATTTCATTTATTATAATAATATTTTTTAATATTCTTAATGATGTGGTTAATAATTTTTTTACAATAATTTTTACAATTAATGAAGTTAACCACAAATTTTCTATAATTTTATCTATTAATGCTTTTATATCAGACTCTATTGGTAATGTTAATTTCGTTGTAAATGTTGCTGTTATTTTTCTTGCTGTTGATGTGGTTGTTGCTGTTGTTTTTGTTGTTGATATTCTTTTAATATTTAATGCACCTGATACTGTTACTGCTCTTGATTTTACTCTTAATAATGAACTCTTAAATGATGTTAGTAATAATAGTGCTGTTAGTATTACAAACGGTAATGATGTGATAATAATTGTTGTTGTTGTTGCTGCTGCTGTTGCTTTTGTTATTATTATTTTTAATATATAAATTTGTATTAAAATTAAATTTACTGATGCTAATATTATCGTTTCTTGTTTTCTCAATAATAATGCTGGTGCTGACAATGATGATGTTGATGATGATAATGATGAAAATAAATTGATGATACAATTCAAGGATAGTAGATTGAAGAGTTTTTTAAAAAGTTTAAAAAATGTAAAATTTTTAATTTTAAACATTGGAGTTTTATCCTTTCAAAGGATTCAAAAGTTGTAATGAAAAGTTTTTTTTTTTTTTGTAGAGAATTGATGATTCTTTGTTGTTTTTATTTTTCTTTTTAAAAAAGTAAAAATGATTTCCTTTTCTTTTTATTGTTATTTTCAGAGGTAAAGGAGAGTACCAGTTGATTTCACTTTTAGTTTTTGCAAAAAAGGAAAAAAATTGAATAAGTATCGGACATTGCCACTGATTTTGTTTTGTTGTTTTTGTAAGTCTTGTTTCTTTTTTAAATAATACTTTTGTATATAGTTTTGTAGTACGGATGACAATTTCAAAAATTTCAGGCTTTTCTTGTTTTCTTTTTGTGTTGCTGTAAGAGGATTGTTTTTTTTTTATGGAGCTGAAATTAAAAATGAAGAAAAAAATTGTGAAAAGCAATTAAAAGTTTTTACATTTTATATTACGTTTAGAAGATTTTTTTAATTTTGCTAATTTAATTACAATTTTATTTTTCACCTATTTATTTTTGAATACAAGTAAAAAGAACTAAGTAAACCATTCCACTTAAGTTAAATATAAGGGAAAAATTTTATTCATTTATAAAAAAATTCTTTTTCTAATTGATAAAAGTAAAATAATTAAAAATAGGAAGAAAAGAGACAAAATTACTGAAAGATTATTGGAAAAACGGATAAGATGTAAGGGAAAGTTTAAAAATTTTCATTTAAAAATTAAATTTATTTAATTTGCATAATAATTTTAATAATAAAAATAATTTGGAATAGATTGTAACTAACTTTAAAGAGACTTGAGTTTTTGCATTGATTTTGTTTCTTATGGGAGGGAGTTGCCTTGAGAAAAGGCATATCCTTTGAAAAGAAATTTAGTTTCATTATAAGAGTTTCGCTTAATGAATTAAAAAAAATCGAAATTTCATTTTTAATTTAAGATCTAGGCATAATTTTAAAATTAGTTTCACAAGTTACAAAATTAAATAGCCTAGTAATGAACTTATTATTGGTGAATCTAAATCTACCTTGATCTACCTATTTCTTTTTAAGTTAAATACGGAACTAAGCTTATTGAATGTTAAATATACAAAACTGCCAAAAAATAACGTTAATGTAGGCATTTTACAATTGTCCCTTGTCGACAGAACTCTACATTCGTAAACCATATATATTTACATTCATCGCATTGACATAAAAAGCTGGTACATCAAAATTTTCCTTTTAAATTTTAAATTTTTTCTATAAGAATTTTCGACATTTGTATATATACTCTATTTTGTATATCTTCTATATCATCATCCAAAAAGGACATACAAGATTCATAAAAGAAAAAACTACTATGTTTAATTTTGATATTTTCTTTTTCAAAGAGATAATTCTTAGATTGCCCTTTTAAATCAGTAAAATTACACCACGATTTGAATATTTGTGATGTATATATGTACATATTATGTAGTGGTGAATGTAAAAATGCGTGCCTAAGAAATTCAAAACAGAATTGATTTCATAAATTAAGTAATCAATCTAAAATTATTCAACTTATAAGAACATTGTCAAATTCATAATTCAAAGTCATTCATTTCCTCCTATATTTACACAATAAATATTTTAATATGAAGTCCCTATACTACTTTAAATTATATTGTTACGACAATACAAATATTTTTAGTTTAGAATATATTAACTGAGTTTATTTTCATGAAAAAAATTTTTTTCATAAGTTAATTTTAAAAATATCTTCATATTTTTTCAGCTAGAAAACATTTAATAAAAAATTGTGAGAAATGCTGCTTATATTTTTCAATTGAAAATAAACATGGAAAATTAACTGTTTTGTAGTTTCAATTCAATTTAAAAGTTTGCCGAAGGATAACAAATAAATGTATATAATCTATACATAATGTGTATAGATTATATATATGTATAGATTGTATATAATATATATGTATATACAAAAGAAAAATGTAAAAATTTCTCTTTAGTTATGAAAAATTGAAATTTTGTAATCAAACGAAAGTAAAATCAGAAATAATATTGCATTTGTAGGAGCAGAGATTTATTTTCATATTGTTATACATATGTACATAAATATATACGGGTTCGTTGGTTGAGAAACTCAAATATTTAAACAATTTAATGCTTCATTATATTTTTAGTAAATTTCAAAATTTAATCTATGTATATACATATTTATAAAATTGCTATATATTTAACTTGTAGTTTGAAAAGTCGAAGTAGAAGAGAGAAAAATTTTAAAACTTTTCAATTAATTGCATTTTTATGTGATATGGACTAAATTTGTAAATCGAAATTCTTAAATAATATACTATAGAATTTGGTCGGGACTAATTGATTGCCAAGTTTATATTAAACTTTTAAATATAAAGAACTCAATAAGGTCACCTTTTTAAACATGTTGGAGATCCAGACCAGAATTGAATTCACACAAATTCTAAAATTACAATACAATTTTATTAAAACGTAATAAAGGCTTAATCTTATTTTGAACAGTATGGTAGTTCAAAAATGCCAGATAAGTTCCCATGCGCTCTTATCATTATGCTCAATTTTCACAGTCTCTATCGCATATGTATGTATGTTGAATTTTACACTCAATTACTCTATCCATTATCGATTCATTTTCGATTTTTTTTAAATTTTTTGTGTAATTTTATTTTGACATCTCAAAAAAGCAGAGAAAAGCAAGAAAAACGTCCTTCAAAAAAAAAAAAAAAAAAAGAAATTTAAACTTTCTTTGCAAGTTTCTTAACTTAAATTGTTCATAAAGATAACAATGTACGAGGAATTCATAATGATAGCCTAGCATTTTATTTTGTTGAGAAATATTCTGCTTGCGTGTAATCTGATTTGTATATGAATGTGTGCACAATACATATACATAATATCATTCATGACTTGATTCATACTTTCTCAACATTAATAGACTTTTAAATTTAGTTGCGAAAAAATAGACAAAAATTGACAAGTTAATATCGTAAATTTGTTTTTTCTTTTAAGAAAAAAATTATTATTGGACAAGTTTGCTTTCATCGTCATCTGTTCTTAATAGAGATAGAGAAAAATTTAAGGAAAAAGAAAAAGTTAAAAAAATCCAATGAAAACAATTTGGAAACAAACAAAAAGGAAAAGGTTGTTTTACAAGTCTAAAAAAAACTTTTTCTTTTGTTCGTAATCTTGCAAAAACCATTAATGATTCAAAAGATTTTTTTATAAAATTAAAGTATTAATTTATAATTCTGAAGACTTTAATTGGAATGGTGCGATATTAATTAAGAGGACAATCAAAAATTGGAAAAAAATGAATTTATTAATTTTGGTATGTTCGTTTGTTCGTCCATCTATACGCTTTTTCGTACGAATGCATCTTTTCGTAAATACTTCTTTTAAATATCATTCCCATCCTGAAGGTATGCAATAATTATGATGAGTTTTAGCACATTAATGAAAATTATTTAAAATCCGTTTTTTTTTCTCTTGTACAATTGAAATGTGCTACTCTGCAAGCTATGTATTCATTTGGCTGAAATTTATTCAAATTGATTTCGTAACTATATCAAAAATAAATTGTCTTCCGGGTAAGATTTGCGTTCCGGGTAAGAGCGGAATTCAAAGAAACTGCAGGGCGGAAGAGCTGGTTGGACAAGGAACGACTTTTTGGATCCTACCTAAAAAGAACTTGGGAATGTTTTTGAGCACGTCAAAGCTGTTGCCACGCAATGCGGCAATGGAGCAAGCCAACCGCAAGTGAGTCTAGATTCGAGTCGGACGGTGGATCTGATATCGGAGCTGTTGTAGTAGTTATAACTGGGCACTGCCTCATTAGCGAACACGTTAGGATGATAGAACTCTTCGTTATTAATTTCTGCAGGAGCTAGTGTGACGAAAAGGAGGATTAGACGATCTTCTGTTCTCATGACCAACGGGGAAAGCGGGGTCGCATTTTTCTCGCATTCGGATCTTACGAATGAAATAAGCCCTAGTTTAAGTATACGAAATGAACACATTCAATTTTTTTTTTCAAATAGCTAATAGATTTAGGCTGGTTCCTTTGAAAACTTTGAATCTCGTGCTAGTTAGAAATTTGGCGTAAATTAATTTTGTTATTATTGGCAAGTATAGACTTCAGGAATCAAAATTTCGCTAGTACAATAAAACGAAATAACTTTTTATTTCATCCCGCATAAACCTGACCTACCCTTATCTATAAAATGTCAAAGGAATAATAAAAAAAAAAGAATTCCCAAATATTTTGTAAATATTTTACAAAAGCCAAAAGAAAAAAAAAAGATAAGTTTGGTTAGGTCAGATTGTTTTTCAGTTTTTGGATTAAATTCAGAATTCTTAAATTAAATCGATTAAATGGTTATTTAGGGTTAAAAATTTTTTGCTAAAAATAATTACAAAAAAAAAAATTTACAAATTTGGTTTTTTTTTCTTGTTGTTTGACCTAATTTTTTTTTTTTGCCTTACCTGATAACTATAAAGGTATATGTGATTATATTATGATTTTATTATAGCCTTAATAATTTATTAGACTATATATGTGTTTTTTGCTGTATATATAAAGGATGTGCGCATTACTTATACATAAAAAGGATATTAAAAAAATATTATCAATTTTTGAATTTTATATACAAATTTTCCAATATCCTTTTAAATATTTGATATAAATTTAATTAATTTTTTTTTCATTCATTTCTCCTCGATTTTTTGTTCTTTTTTTATTAGATATCCTTTATCATATTTGTTCTTAAAATTTTCAAGATAAAAATTCTTCTTTTTTGTTTTATTATTATATTGGTGTTGTTGTTATTGTTGCTTATTTTAATCTAATTTGTTTTCAGTGTGGTTGTTGTTGTTGAGGTGTGATTATTGTATCTGATTCAAGTTAAATGCATGGTTGAACTTTATTTTCTTATTTCTGTTTTCTTCTTTTTCCTCCTTATGTTGTTAGTTCCCCTAAAATATATTATCCTTGTTGTATTTTAAAAGTTATTCTTTAAAACAATTTCTTGTATTATTTTTTTTTTTGTTTCGAGTTCATTTAAATTTGTTTGGTGTTTTTCTTATATTGATTTTAAGTTGCTGCATCTTTTGAATTGATTTTTTAATTTTTCTTCTTTTTAATTTGATTTAGTTCTTCTCTTATTCTTGACCTGCATTCAGAAAAAAGAAATAATATCAAAAATTTATATTGAAAACAAAAATAAATAGAAAATTTTACTTTTACTTTTATATGAGAATTTTGCAGTATCATAACAATAATTATGAAAATGAATGCAGAACAAATTAAATTTGAAAAAGGGTAAACGAACAAAAAAATTTAATGCAAACTACACAAAGGACTTACTATTGTTTTAAATACACATGACCTCTGTTCAATATTTCAAAAATTATTTTTTTTATCTTATAATTGCAAAAATAGTTTAACATCTGGCCAGTATTTTTATTATTAAATTTCTGTTCTAAAATTTTAGAAATGTACTTAAATTTTATTATAATTTTCAGGTCTTATAATATATTAGACACGTTTCCGTACGTTTATTCTTCGAGAGTTCCCCTTTAAAGACTCCACTTTTCTTGTCTTTTTTTACAACAGAAATCTGAAATTTTTTGAATGAATGCATTCTTGTAAGAAAACTGTTTCATAAGAAAAAATGTTTTGTCTATTCACCTCCTTTATAGCCAGGCGTTCTACACCTATTAGGGGCGTAAGATCAAAAGCTTTCATTATGAATGTCGTAATAATCAAATGGTCGTTAAAATTGACTATTATCTTGACATGGTCCAAAATTACAAAATTTTTCTGTCTTCTTTCCCTCACAACGTGCGCAACCTCTTATTATTAAAAAAATTTAAATTTTCGGTAAATTATTTCTTTGAAACCTTCTGTTCGCTTCAACAAATTTCTATAAGAATAAAGAAGCAACTATTGATGTCTTCTTATCATCAGGGTACATAAATTATATTTTCCCAAAGATTTTCATTCTATGATAATATTGAACTTTTGTTGTTCGTTCGACTAAACCATTCAAAAATCGAAATATTTCAATATTGAACGAAAACGTGTTTACATAAGACAACAAGTTATAAGAAAATTAAAGGGCCCCAGTTTTAGGATGAACATTTCAATTTTAAATTTTTTCATCCCTTGTGCCCCTTTGCTATTTTGTTACACGAAATTGAATATTTTTTTGAAAAAAAATGTTGTTATTATTTGCACATAGTTTTCACTATTTATTTGTATAGTGAGAAAATTTCAAATTGTCATTTATACATTTATATAATAGTATAACAGATAATAAAATCATAAAATTGAATATAAATTATAAAATCATAAAGTTTTGTTGTGTAGCCGGAAAAGATAAATTTAAATATTTCCTGTTCTACTCGTATATTTACATATTTACATTTCATGCAATGTAAAAATTTTAGAAAGGTATTCGTTGTCGTGCATTTTCATAAAGTATACAAGTAATTTTTTCCGTTTTTATATATGAAAATTTTATATTCAAGTTTACATAAATTGATATTGGAAGTGAGTTCTAAATCGGATATTTGATTTTATAAATGGATTTTATTTAAATTTGATTGAAATGAGAAGCATTCAACGTTATCCCATTATATTTAATCTTATACATATAGTATTTTGTATTTTGATATTTTGATATTTATATGAAAATTTCTGAACTGAACTAATAACATGTGCACTATCTTCACAGATCCACATGCGTGACGGCAAAAAAGATGTAGCCGAAATACGACCTTGGGAAATCAGAGGGAGATTATCTACCAGACGGCAGTTTATACGGACACTGGCAGGGAGTATAAGACTAGGGTGGGACTACCCTTCAACACAACGTGAAGAAACTTCACAGCTGCCGGAAAATGGACAGGAAGGAGACAATTTTTCAGTATTCTTACGAGTGTCCGGCTCTGAGCGCTGCCAGACTGGTCACGTGGGGTAGAGCTTGTGTGGCATGGCTAAAGAAGATATTGATAATTAGCATCGAGAGAGAGTAGAGCTTGTGTGGCATGATAGTTTAGATCTTGCTTAAGAGAACCGGGTGGCTTAGATAGGCCATCTGTAATCGTCCTCATGACGATTTTTTGGTGGTCACGGGGAAAAACAGCACATTTGTGGTAATTGGGGTACGGTGGACCTGCTAAACCTGTCGCGTCAACAAGCCAACCAACCTTTACAGAAAAAATGGAGCAGATTGAATATTATGACGTTTGAACTTTTTTTACCGGAAAGACTTTTAGAAGTAGCGGAACCAGATAGGTAGGTTGCATTTGCCTGATCGTACCGATATGAAAAAAAAATTAAGATTACATTAAACAGCTATGTGCAGTTGAAACAGCTATAAATAATTTTTTTCTTGTCTATGTACACTGATCTTAAACCAATAAACTTACGCCTTGCAAAGAACACATGATAATTTAAATATTAATGAATTCGACGTTTTTCAAAAAGTGATAAAAATTTTTAATCTACATTTATATTTTGTTATAAAAGAACAATTAAATCAAAGCTTACATATAAGAATTCAAAAATACGTGGTGATTTTTATGTAACCAAGAAAAAACGAAACCAAAAAAATAAAAAACTTGTGTAAGTAATAAGAAATGGCCAAAAATACAAAGATCAACACTTTTAAATTATTTAATTTTTTTTTTCACCCGTCTTGTTCCTTTTTGCTGACCGCATTGTATTCAATATGGGAGGTATGATAAAAGTAGCGAATTTCACATGTCTAATTTTTCAACACAAGTTGGTTTGTGAACTAGTTTTTGTAGGACGCCAGTCAGACTTTTTTTGTTAGGTAAATCGATTTTGCGTTAGGTAAATTTTTAGGTAAACCGATTTTTATGAAAATTGTGATCTGAGCTTAAGGTTACAATGTGATGAGTTGATTAATTTCTGATGGAATATGTCAGATCTCAGCAATTGGACTTTTACGTTTTAAAGGATTGGTCTTAAATGTGACCAAATTTTTTATAAATTTTAGCTCTTACTAACAAATATCACAAACCCTTAACAGCTTTTTGATTTTAACAATCAGATGACAAAAAATAGAAATAATTTACCAATTTTCTCGAAATTGAACATATCTCCGGTCATTAAATTGATGATCTAGTATTTTTCAGGAACAGAAGTGGATTTTACATTCGACCAAGTCAACTATGACAAGTTTTTCATAGAAACCAGATCCCAGAAAATGAATCTTTAATATTGTAATCATTTTAACCAAGAGTTCAGTATACCAGCTTCCCTAAAATTTGAAACAAGTACTAAAAGTCCATTTGGATACTCTTGCACAAATCACTAAAATAGAAACTTTTTAGTCAGTAATTTGCTGACCACAACCAAATTTTTTTTTCAATTACTCTCGTCTCCTGTTTTCTATTTTTTTATAACTATTATTTATTTATCAGCACAATATCTAAGTCAATTTTAGGCAACACAATGTGTGTAATTGTAAGAACATTTTTAAAGAACACAACCAATTATGAAAATGTGTACACATAAATTTTATCAATAAAGGATAAAGAATATTCGGTCGTTTTTCTTTCCTTTTTTTCTTATTTTTATTCATATTATGGTGAAAGGCACCATCTTTCTTTGTTATTAAGCTGGTTATATTTTTATCATAAAGTATACAGAGAGTAAAAAAAAAATATCTAAGTATAACAGGATTCTATTTAATTCACTGAACTTTCATTGTTATCTCATCATTTAGTAATCGGTACATAAAAAGAAATTATAAGAAAAAGAAAAAAAAAATTAAATAAAATAGGAAACAAGAAAATCCTTACTCCATTCGTTGAAATTTTTTTTTTCTTTTTTTGTATGTGATGTTTTTGCATCCTTTTTTTTTCTCTCAAATATTTTATGTTTCTTTGTTTGCTTCTGTCTCTCCCTTTGATTTACTTGGATCGTTGCCAGCCAGCATTTCTTTTTTTTCTCAACTTGCTTTTATACTTTTCTTCTTTCTATCAAAATATTCCTGTTATGTACTTTTGTACTTTTATATTTATGTACGAGTACGCATACTGATGTTATACATTGTTAATTTATTATCAACAAAAAAGAAAGTGTTGTTGCAGGGTGTTTTCTCAAAGTGAAGTGGAGTACTGAGAATATTAAGCTTTATATAAAGAATATTAAAAGAATTTGAAATTAGAAAGCAAATTAAATTTAATACAAAATTTTTTTTTGGTAAATTTCATTAACAACAAAGACATTTTCAAATCAAGAACTCCTATGTTTTTAACAAGAAAAATATTCGAAATATATGTTAGTGTCTATGAATATTGCTTTATGTTCTAATTCGGCATAACAAATAATAAAAGGACATCTGAAGTACGTGATGTTAAAATATATAGTTTCAACTTCGGGGTTCGTGTTATCACTGAATTTGTTCACTGACCATTGTCCGTTAAAATATCACTTGCACAAACTGAACATATCGGACTCCCTTTTGTGTAGATTTTGCTGAGACGACGAAGAGACAGCCACACATATTCTGTGTAACTGTCCTGCTCTAGCTGTCAGGAAGTGCAGTTGCTTTGGGCGAGGGTTTCTCAGTATGGAGGAGTTCACGTGTAACCCTAGAGGGATATCATCGGCTATTTATTTGAAATCCGAATAATATAAGTGCAAAATATGAGGAATACAATAAGCCATGTTTGACTGCGGTGGTCGAATGGGAAGAATTCCTTCTGCAAGATCTGGCTCGGTTATGGGAAAAATGATCACAAGTGCTGAAATTTTGTGTCTTTTTCGGAGCAATAATTTTTTTTTTTAGTTTGTTTGGAAACTTTGTTGTGTACTTTTAGTAGTTCACGATTTAAGGGTCCAAATGTGATGAATTTCATTTTTTGATAAATTGATAATAAATTTCACACACTTAATACTTATTTATATCAGTGAGTTGTATAGGATTAATAAGAATTCGATAATAATAGATTTCGAATTTATTTTATACTGCATAATCCGCCAGTTTAATAAATTGCCTTATTAATCAACATTTCTTTAATATTATCAGTTAATTATCATGTAAGTATTAGAATGAAACACCTTGTCTAATAGTATAGTTACATTAAATCCTTATTTATTTACATACTTACACAAAAATAAGTACTTATGTAG